TTAATAACATTTATATATATACATATATACATATATATTAAAAATCAGGTCAAAATAACTTCATGTGATCTTTCAGTCCTGCTGAGTCTTCACAATCTGGTCATGCTCATGAGTCAGGTGTGCTAACAGTGTGACCTTAAGGTTGACCCCGTGGCAATTAACTGCCCTAAGGCCTTCTCCCAGACCAGGGAACACTGTCAGATCACATAGACTAGATTCACCCAGTTACATGGGCTCTGAGGACAGCTCGAGCTAGATTTGAATCTCCACTCTGCCACTTGCTGTGTAACCCTGGGCAAGTTAATGCCTTTGTGCATCTGTTTCTTCATTTATACAGTGGGAATAGTAATGCTGTTTATAAATTTGTTTTATGTCTTAGGTCAGATTCTAAATCTGACGAGCTTAAGCTATTACCAGCCTACAGTAGCCATTTGAAAATAACAACCCCCCCCTCCACGTTATACATTGTCATAACGCCACAAACTAGAGACACATCCTCTGCCCCATGTTCACCTCCAGAGCCTTAGCCTCAAAATGCAGGCGGAGACGGGTTATTCATGATGAGTTAATCCCTGTGTCTAGAGTCTTCTCTGCTTGTGGTGGGGGGGCCCACTCAACGGGCTTTCAAATCTGGGAGAAGATGCTGCCTGGAAGGCTCCAGATGTAAGGATTATTGGGGAGTTTTCTCTACTCTTCTGTTTACTAGGGGACATTATGAAGAAGGATAATCATCCCTTCCTTAAATGTTTCGTAGAGTTCACCACTGAACTCACTTTTATTCCTTGAGGGAAAGTTTTAACTGTGCCTTCAATTTCTTTGAATATTCTTTAGCACATAGAGCTAATATTGGGAATCTATGCCATCTTTATTTTCTAATTGGTTTGGCTAGAGGCTATCCATTTTATTGATTTTATTTTTCCATAGAACCAGCTTTGGGTTTTATTGTTTTTCCTTCTATATGGTTTTCTGTTTTATATGCCACTGATTTTTGCTCCTTCCTTTATTATTTCCTTCTTTCTCTTTATTTCAGGAGTAAGGATTTTTAAAAATGATTATTTATTAATTTTATTTATTATGTTTTTATTATTTTAAATTTGACCAGAGAGAGGGAGAAAGTGAGAAAGCAAGCTTCCAGATCTGGGACTTGAACCGTCAGCTGAGTGGGAGTCCAGTGCTTTAACCATCATGCCACTTGCTGGCCCCAAGGAATTAACTTTCTTAAGACTGATGTTTAGATTACTGGTTGGAGATCTTTCTGTATATTACAAGCATTAAATTCTGTAAATTTCACTAGGGGCAGCAGATGGTGTGATAGTTAAGACCCTGGATTCCCATATGGCTGACTGTGGTTTGAGTCCCAGACACAGTGGCTTGACAATCACACTGCATGTGTGTACATGTCTGCCCAAAATCCTGAGAGGAGAATGGAAGAGAAGGGATTATGACGTGGCCATTCTCCCCCTGGAGTGACTTCTCATTTTTCTTCTCTTTGTCTTTCTGCAGCAAGCTCATGCTCCCTATGGCAAAAACCCTAAAGAATTTTTTTCAATCACTTTGAAATATTTTCTACTTTACCCTGTCATTCTTTGACCAAAGGGTTATGTAGAAATATGTTGTTTACTTTTCTGCTAGCTTTTTGTTATTGATTTCCATTTTAATTTCACTGTAAACTGAGAAATATTGTGCTTACAATTGTTTTAAAACTATATTTTTAATTTTTATATTTAACTTTATTTATTGATGTATTTTAATTTGACCAGAGAGGGACAGAGAAAGAGAGAGAGAGGGAGGGAAAGTGAGAAAGCAAGCCTCCAGGCCCAGGACTTGAACCGTGGTGGGCCATATGGGAATCCACCATCCTTAACTACCACACCACCTGCTGGACCCCGTTTTTAATTTTTAATTGACATGTGATAGTATATATTTATAGTGTGCGGCATGGTTTTCATTACTTAAGTATAATGTACAATGATGAAAACAGGGCAGTAAGCATACCCACCGTCAGGCCAGCAGGCGGCATGGTGGTTAAGGGCACTGGACTCACATGACTGAAGTCCCAGACCTGGTGGCTTGCTTTCTCACTTTCTTTGTCTTGTTCTGTCTCTTCTCTGGTGAGCACATGTATCCTATGGCAAATAAAATAAATAAACTAATTAATTAATTAAATAATTCTTTTAAAATACCCACCATCTCCAACATTTATCATTATTTTTGTGTTATAAATATTCAAACTCCTCTCTTCTATTTTGAAGTATACACTGAATTGTCACCAACTATAGTTACTCTGCTGTACTATAGTAGCCTAAAACTTATTCCACTTATTATTTGCAATTTTGTATTTTAAACCCCACCTCTCCCCAGCTCCAGTGTCCACGAGTTCACTTTCCACTTCTATGTGATTCAAATTTTTGGTTTCCGCTAATGAGTGAGAACTTACTGTATTTATCTTTCAGTGCCTGGTTTATTTTCCTTAGTATAACTTCCTCCAGGCTTGTCCATATAGCCTCCAATTATG